TGTCCAATGTCTCCTGGGGCAAAACCACCCCAAAGCGAGAACTAGTATATAAAGAAAGAAAGTGCGTTGTTCTGAACACACCCGCATCCATACGTGTATGGCTCCCACAGATCCATTAGCAATAAACAGTATTATGATTAATCAACATTTGGATGCTGACATACATGGCCAGAGCCGAATCCTAAGAAGATAACAAATTCTTCCTGAGCTCCCAAATGTCGCCACATGGCCGGCTGGAATTTTCATTACTTTTACCCAATAGCATTGTATCTGCATTGCTCTATTTCTTCATGCAATACTTATTTTCTAACACACAAATCATAAAATCAAAATTTTGATGGTGATACAGAGAGGTGGCTTAATCATCTTCACACATTCAGTGGCACAAAAACCAAAAGGACAAATGAACAAAAAACCCAGCATGGTGTGTGAGATAATAAATATTGTCTCTGTATACAAATCAACCAATATTCCGTGGCTCTGGTCAAAGCTATTATTCTGTGATGGCCTGTAACAGACAGTGGGCCAAAAAATGCATAGCAAACATCTCCCCTGGACTCATTCTGTTTCCGCATAGGAACTTTTCCCTTTCTCTCAGTTTTACCCTATTAGGACAGCATATGTTTTAAAGTGTGAACATTTTCTGAGATTTGATATTGCAGTGTTATTTCTCAATTACTATTTTTTTAGCTCTTTTTTTTTAAAAAAAACCAGCACATGCAATCCCTCTTTACTTGAGGCTTTATAATTTGAACACATGGGACTTGGACTCATGTTTCCAATATTATTTTAATTGCAAGAAGTGATTTGATAAAAAAATTTATAGCTGCTAGTGTTTTGTGCCAAGACCCATGATGATACACTCACTATTGACAGCAGAAAGAGTATAGCTAATACTGATGAAACACTGCTCCTCATTATGCCAGCAGGAATGAGCTTTTGTGTCAAATAGTATTGACTCTAAAAGATAACAGTTCCAAACACTGAGGAGTGATTAACAGCAGTTTTGGGGGCTAAGCAAATTTTATTTCCATTTTCCTATCGAAAAATTATATGCCCTTTAATTTCCTCCTTCATTAGGAATTGACCTAGGTCCAAAATCATAAAGCACCTTATATAATTATCTCATGACATTTATTTTGGCTTTATTTTTTAACAGCTGTGGCTAATACGGTCACTATTTATAGCCTGCTAACCATGATAACACATCAAAAAATACCTGGTCATCACATTTGAAAATGTGGCTAATTTGAGAAAATATTAATATGTATTTAAAAATTGTCAGTAATATTTTAGTATAGTATATGTTATTAAAGAATAGGTCATTGTGTTATTACGTTTTATTCAATAACACATTTATTTTTTCAGTTTACTTGGTATTCTGCTAGCGCATTCTATTAGAATGTTATAGCATTCTGATAGTTAATTATGATTGCAATTTAAATATTGATCATAGTTTTTTAAAAAGTACAGCCTGAATACTATTGTTAGCTGTGATAAGTTATTTCAACAAAACAGCCTGAAAGAAAATACAGATTCAGAATTTACCTTCATGTGTACATTAAGCACAAAACTGTAGTTAACAATGTTATTTTGAAGTTGGGAGAGAACAATTAAACAAGTTCATCTGAAATCATGGCAATTTCCATTCTTCTTGTCAGTTTGGGGTTAACTGGTTAAATATACACTATTCCTCTCCCATATTCCTATCAAATGCTGATACTTCTAAGACTTCCAAATTGTTTAATTATCGGTGATGCTACTAAAATGTCTTTAGGGAGCCTGTGAATCTTAGAAGATCAGTACATTACAAAGTTTGCAGCACATAACTGTGTAATTAAGAGTTTTGGCCAACAGAGAGGAGAGTAGAAGCAGACTTCCAAGGGATTTAAAAGATTAAACACATATGAATTCAAATGCAACAGCATTAATTAGCACATACAGAAAACTACAAAGAGACTAGTTGGGAAAGATTTTGAATAATAGAATCTTAACATCCGTTTGTTTTTGTTTCTTTTTTGATGTATCACAGAGGATCCTAAGGCATCAAAAAAATACTAAACAAAAGACCCATTATTAGCGACTGAGAAAAGAACAAAACTCCATCAACATTTATAAAAACAAGAATGATCCATACATCCTATTCATGAGTTCAGTGTCAACACCGAGCCAAAAATTGGCTAGTGCAAATCTCACATCTCCACAAGTATAGCTGCATGAAAATAAAGGAAGCAACTTTAAAAAAAATGGTTTTAAAAATTCCATCCCAACTAATTAATTGGAAGAAACTTCATAATCAGGATAACTTCAGGGTTCGCTCTCATCATTAACACTTGCTTCATTCCAACTCCAATCCCATCCTCCCACTAAGGTATTCTTTCCCATTGGACACAGTCTTTCTCAAGGATGTCTCTGATGGCCCTCAGTGAACTGAGAATGGATTCAGTTCTGCACCATTTATTCAAATATTCCATGAATATTGGCATTATCTGATCAAAGAAATTCATATTTCTTGGTGAACTGTCTTATTATGTATATATATTTTTTTAAAAAAAGATGTATTTATTTTTATTGCAAAGTCAGATATACAGGGAGCAGAGACAGAGAGGATGATCTTGCCTCCACTGATTCACACCCCAAGTAGCTGCAACAGCCAGAGCTACACAGATCCAAAACCAGGAGCTTCATCTGGGTCTCCTACATAGGTGTAGAATCCCAAGGCTTTGGGCCATCCTCACCTGCTTTCCCAGGCCACAAGCAGGGAGCTGGATGGGAGATGGGGCTGCTGGAAATAGAACCAGCGCCCATATGGGATTCTGGTGCATTTAAGGTGAGGACGTTAGCTGCTGGACTATCACGCTAGGCCCTATACGTAATTATATTTGTTGTTGTTATTTCTGTTTTATTTGAAAAGCAGAGTCACACACGCTCAGAGAGGCACAGACAGTGAGAGACAACTTCCATCTCCTGGCTTACCCCATAAATGTGTGCAGTTCTGAGGTTAGGCCAGCACAATGTCAGGAGTCCTGAACTCAATTCAGGTATCCCACTTGTGTGTCAGGCATGCAATTATCAAAGCCATTATCCACTGCCTCCCTGGGTATTCATTCCCAGGAGGCAGGAACTAGAAGAGTCAGATTTTGAGCTCAGTCACTGTAATATGGGATGTAGTTATTAAAAGTAACAATGTTAACTGCTACACAAAACAGCCACCCTAGCATTTTTTTTTTAAATTGCACAAGTGCTATAAGGAACTGCACGTAGTATAGCTATTTCTCAAATCCTTTTGTGAGATTTGATTACTTCAAAGCAGAAACAACATAGTTTTGTTCCAATTAATAACCAAACTTAAGCTGATGCTTAAATTCACCTAGAAAAAATATGCATATATATATCTACTTTGTGTGATTTCAGTGATTTTTTCCCATAGTGCATAGACCACTAAATACCAGAAAATTCCTAGCCCATCCCATCTACCCAGCTATCATGTATAAGTTATATTCACTGATATTTCCAACTGTACAACTATGATAACTTTAAAAAAATCCCTCAGTACAATAAAACACTAAGCAAAATTACGTAGATCATACTTAAAATTTTAGCTTGCAGAGGAAATCGGACACCTTTTGGCTAGTTTTGCCTGAGTCATACTATTCACCAGAGCAAACAGCACCTGAAACTCTGAAATATAACAAAGGAGGAAATAACTAGGCACTGTACTTCGGAAGGGTTTGGTACTTAGATTTGGAACATTTCAATAGTTACTTCCCTGACCACATAGTTAAAAATAGGTAACCACGGTTAAGTTGTCTAAATATAGAGGGATTACAATTACTAGAAAAATAAAGCTTCCTTCTTACTATAAGTGAAATGTATATACATTCAGTTGTTTAAATATCATTTGCTAAGTAGCAATTGAGGATACCTGAAATAATAAGTTGTAAAGATCCAACGTCAATAACTAACATGACTGCACTTAAGATTGATTATTGGCTGTTTTTTCTGGCGGACCCAGAAAACAACAAAGTGAGAAAGAGGAAAAATGAAAAAAAATGCAAAGATAACAGGGATGGAAACAGAACCAATCCAGCAATTGCAATGGACTGTGCCAGGCCCTGTGCTTGCTAGCACATACAAGAATCTGATCTGGGAACACTTCAGACAAAGTTTCTTTGGGGATCTCACCAATCAAGCTTCTGGACTCAGAACGCTAACCATCAAATGACAGAGGACAGAACAAGTGAATCAACCACCTCAGCTATAAGTTGGCAGTGAAAAACTGGGCAAACAGAGACTATATGATGGACTATGTCAATCAGTGGAATCTTCAACGACCTCATCGTGTTTGGAGTGGTGAGAGTGGCAGCAATTCAGAACTGTCAGAATTGTTGAACTATCAAAACCACTTGATCAAGACCCTCGGAGCATGCCCCACATTCAGGATCTGGGGTGGGTGGGAGATTGGGTGGGGCTTCTCCCTCAAAATCCCCCTTTACATCAGATATGTTAAGGAAACAATATGGAACTAATCGTCTTGCCCAACTTCCTGTAGCGCTTGAACCTTTTTACCCTAATTATGTCAAGACTGTCAAAAAAATAAATTAAAAAAAAAAAAACCTCAGAATCACCACCAAAAAAAACACAAAGATATGTGAAAAGCATAGTACTAAACAAAAAAAAAAAGTTAAATAACTTGGACTAGGCTAACCATTTTAAGTCTTCATATTTACAATACTTTATTGCATAAAAATGTTGCAGAAAGTGTTTAGTCTAAGTAACTCTCATTTCTAGAAATATGTATTCAAGTGCTAAAATGGGTCAATGGGGAAAAGAAATGAAGCATATACCCACGGGCCTGTTTTTCTCTCTGAATCACTCTAACAATTCAAATATTTCAGGCATATCTTTTGAACTTAAATGGCATTCAAGTTCTAATGATCAACAGAAATCAGTTTGGATTCTAAACCATACTTAAGTGCATAAAATAATTCATTACTTACAAAAGTTGTGTTTTCCAACAATAACGTGGTGGCATTTGTTTCTATATTCAGTTTGATGACATGTCCATTCTCGCTTTTATACACCAAGTCTGTATCTGCAACAACAAAGGCATCATCAGTTGATAAACCCATTTGATTAGCTATGATAATAACTGGAGGGGGAGAAGCATGTATACTAAACAAGCGTGTTAGAGCACTCATTGTCTTCAATAACCCGGCTGATTTCCTTACTCAGCTCACATCGATTCTCTTGAAAGATCAAGAAATCTTCTGTTATACAATAAACACAGGGTTAGTAGGACAGCCAAGCAAAAATAAGGAAAATTTGAGGCACTCGTTGCATATTCTGAAAAGAGAAAGGCGACGCTAAGAGCAGAGCATGCAAGTTCCAGAGTAAGCTGTTACTGATGAATGAGGCAGCTTTCTCTCTTTCACTAAGGGATCCCATATACTGTAACACAGCACAAACCTAAGCCTCACCATATCGACCCAGTTTATGAAGACTTATTTACATTACATGCCAAGACTTTCTACTACTATGCTCATCTTACTCTACGTCTTCCACTGGGGGTTAAATCTTTCCTCTGATTTCTAACATACAACTCAAAATTTTTGAGGCTGTTTCAAGAACATGCCACAAAATCCACTTTGTCATCTTCAGAATAAGGTTTCCATTTGTTATAATCGCATTTTTTTCTGCAAACTTTTTAAAAATATTTTTAGTATAATTTAGCCTGATTTAAGGTTTTCAGTCAAGATGACAAACCTGAGGAAAAATTGTCAAACACCAGGAGATTTAGTTTAACACACAGTGTATGCATACAAAATCAGGTAAAATATAAAGAGAGCAAAGTTAAAGTGGAATTGAGTAAGTTTGCCTCCTTTTTAAAATTATAATTTCCTTTCCGGTTTTGCCAAACTTTAACCTTGTCCATAATATAACATAATTCCCAACTCCTGGTTCACTTTTGGAAAGATTTATTTATTTATTTGAAAGGCAGAGTTACAGAAGGAGAGGAAGAGAGACACAGGGAGAAATCTACCTGCTGGTTCACTCCCTAAATGATCACAATAGCTGGAGCTGAGCCAGGCCATAGCCAAGACCCTGAAGCTTCTTTCGGATCTCCCTCATGTGTACAGGGGCCCAAAGACCCAGACCATCCTCTGCTGCTTTCCAAGACTATTAGCAGGGAGTTGGATCAGAAGTGGAACTAGCTGCAGAATGAATGGTCACCCACATGGAATGCCAGCAATGCAGTTGGAGCATTAGCCTACTGTGCTAGGACCAGAAACATGCAATTTTTATTCAGTGTTTGACTTGAAAAACCGAAAGTATGATTGCAATACGACTCATACATTATTGACAAACATGACTTATGGGGTCTGATTGTATTTGCTCTTCATATTATGTGGCAGTGACATCCTACAGTATCCTGGTTGGATACGGACGATATTTTTTTTAAGATTTATTTTTATTATTTTTATTGGAAAGGCGGATATACACAGAGGAGAGACAGAGAGGAAGATCTTCCGTCTGATGATTCACTCCCCAAGTGAGCGCAACGGCCGATGCTATGCCAATCTGAAGCCCACGCGGGTGCAGGGTCCCAAAGCTCTGGGCCGTCCTAGACTGCTTTCCCGGGCCACAGGCAGGGAGCTGGAAGGGAAGCTGGGCTGCCGGGATAGAACCGGCGCCCATATGGGATCCTGGGCGTGCTAGGCGAGGACCTTAACCACTGCGCCACCACGCCGGGCCCAATACGGACAATATTTTTAAGAGAGGAGCGAAGAGGGGTTGGTAAATGGCTCAGTGGATAAATCCTAAGATTGCACGTGCCAGAATCCCATATGGGTGCTGGTTTGTGTCCTGGACACTCTATTTCCCTTGCAGCTCCCTGCTTATGGCGTGGGAAAATAGTTGAAGATGGCCCAAAGCCTTGGCACCCTATACCCATATGCAAGACTTGAAAGAAACTCCTGGCTCCTGGCTCCTGGCTTTGGATTGGCTCAGCTCTGGCCATTGAAACCACTTAGAGAGTGAACCAGCAGATTGAAGATCTGTCTCTCTGTCTTTCCTTCTCTGTAAAATCCACCTTTCCAAGAAAACTAAATAGATCTTTTTTTAAAAAATGGAGGAAAGAGAAGAAGAAGCAGATTTTCCCAGTTACTGTCTTATGGCAAAGCATAAACTCAATGTCCTACATGAATTTGGTACCTTTACTAAATATTTGATTTATTTAAAGTGAATTTTATTAGCTCAATTTTACACTTGGGAACAATCTACTCAGATTTCAGATTTTAACTACTTTTATATCTGTTCTGCTGCAAACTTTTCTGTTGAACTTTCTTACACTGCATTACAGACTCCTTTAAGAGAACATATAATACTTCAGCTTAATATTTAATATTCTCACCTGGCATATTTTAAAGCATTTAACATCTATATTTTTAAAATTCATTTAAAGATGTTCTTTCTGAAAGAAATCTTCAAAAAATTCATGGGAAAAATATGTATTGTGAAACTGTATGAATTTTGATTATTTTAGTACCACAGGAAATGTTGAAATTGCATTTTTTTCCATGAGCATTTTGAATACCCTGAGGTAATCTGCTCTTCTGGGCTCATATTTATCCAACTTTAGTGTGCAACGTTCAACTACAAATGGAATCTCCCAGTTGAAATAACTCCTACTACCAGATTAATATACTTCAGTAATATACTCCACTTCTAAAGCGACGATCTCACCGTTTGGTTTAACCTTTTGGTGTGAGATATGAACAAAACAGAACAATGGGCACCATGTATTACTGGAAGAAGGTGAAGGCAGGTGCACCACAGGTGTTCTTAAATCATTATGCATGCCTAGATGATACTTCCTTTTAGCTCCTTGAGAGTTAAGAGCCAATTATCCTGAATTGTCAATTTTTAAAATTTTATACAATTTTAAAAATTATTTTTATTTTAATTGAAAGGCAGACAGAATTTTTTATTCACTGGGTCACTTCCTAAATGTCTGTGAAAGCCAGGACTGTGCCAGGCAGAAACCAGAACCCTGGAACTCAGTCTGGGTCTCCACCACAGATGGCATGCGTCCAAGTTCTTGACTCATCACTTCATATCTCCTGGCAGGTGCACCAGCAGAATCTGAGATCCAAAGCAGATTACCCAGGACTCCAACAAGGCATCTGACACAGAATACAATCATCCCAAGCAGCTTCTTAATGGATATCCCAAAAGTCTGCTTCAATTATTTTCTTTTAAATGAAAGGAGGAAAGGCTAGAACAACTGTCTAGGTCTCCTTCCTGATCCAAGTATAGCTTTTTCAATCTGTAACACATCTAAATAACCACCGCTTTCTTTTTCCTCTAGTCTTTCCTTATAGTTTACATAACAAAAAGGAAAGACACTGCAGTAGATCCCAATGTAAACTCACTTTGGTAAATACAACCTAAGGTGTTCTTTCTCACACATAACAAATAGGAAAGCTCTTCCCACTGTAGTCCAGTTCTCAGTGTGTTACTGATATCAAGGAGACTTCAGTATCTGCTTCAACTAAGGCAGCCCATGTCTGTGTAAATCACTGTTTTAGGATGCTCTTGCTCATGAAGTGAAGGCTATAAATCACAACAAACTCTTCGCTGTTTTTCAGGAATTTACATAAAATTCATTTACCTGTACTTATTTTCCTAAATCCTCAAACTGCTCTCCTGTGAAACAAGTCACTTTAAGATACTTCCCTCTATATCATCATTTCTAGTAAACTGCATCTTTACTGCTAAATTCCAGATAACTGTTTCTATTCTTTTTTTTCTTAGTCCCCTCTCTTTCTGGGCACCCTATTACTCTTTCACAATATTGTCCTTGTTGAAAGTTAATGGGTGAAAAACTCAACTATTTAATAGATAATCCTGAGAGTCTTCTAGAAAGTCATTAACAAAATTCACCTTAGAGGTGTATCACTGTGAAGTGCCCTTATGGGTTTATTTTGATGTTACTCAAGGTGTAACTATACTTTTATTTTGGCAGGATTTGCCTTTTAACGGCTCCGAATTCAATTCACTTATATATTCAGCATCTATCTACCTAGAAAGAGTTATCAAAAAGTCAACACTGCACCAAATGACTCTCCTTCTAAGCTGTCTGTGTACAAATACAAAGACTGAGCCAAGTTCAAAGTCAGGTATCATGCTTGCTCTAATATAATGTAATATGATGTCAAATCTAGAGATATCATATATGAATCTTGCTCTATGTTAATCAATGCTAATTCATACTTACTTGTACATAATGCAACAAGAATTTGTGATGTAATTCATTAATTAACCATCCACAAGAGGTGGATTTTTTATAACCACGTGAGAGAGTCAGTGTCCACATATAACTATTATTACTACAGCCCATAAACAACAAAGACCTAATCCTCATAGTGCCAACATTAGGGCCCTAGGAAAGCAGAATTAACCTACAATGAAAAGTTATTCTCCTGAATGTCTGGGAGACGCTCCAGTGGAAACATGATAGACTTGGGAAAATTCACGATGGACACACATTATGAACCTAGAGGGGAGAACAGAGGAGAGGGGAGGGAATTTGGGGGAGAACAAAGGGAGAGCCCACCACCAACTAAATTGCATGGAAAAAATAAAGAAAATGATTTATTTTATTTTTACTGAAAAGGCAGATTTACCGAGTGGAGAGACAAAGAGAAAAATCTTCCATCTGTGATTTATTCCCCAAGTGGTCACAATGTCCAGAGCTGACCCTATTCAAAGCCAGGAGCCAGGAGCTTCCTCTGGGTTTCCCATGCAGGGTCCCAAGGCTTTGGGCCACCCTCTACTGCTTTCCCAGGCCACAAGCAGGGAGCTGGATGGGAAGAGGCGCAGCGGGATTAGAACCAGGCACTCATTTAGGACCCTGGCACATGTAAGGTGAGGATTGAGCCATTGGCCATCACGTTCAGCTCAGTTATTTCTTTTGAGCAGGCTAGACAGGATTCTGCACCCCCTGATGAATTTTATCCCCACCCTCTGATTGTTGCTCAGTTTTTTTCTTTTTCTGTAAAATTATTCTCAAGACTCCACTTTGACCAAATT